GAGCTTCAGCTTCGGAGTCATTATTACACAATAGACACTGCCATAGCGGCAGTAGAAGACTTACTGAGTCTCAAGGATACTAGACAAAGGAAAAAGGTAACCTATCAGCAAAGAAGCGAAAGAAAAGGCCAAAGAAAGCAAGAGGTGCTAGGTGCAATCAAGGCGTGCATTTGCATTTTTATCTTTAAACCGCTGGAAATTTATGGAAAACTAGAGCGATTTGAGGCCAAACACACTGTCACATTCGAAGCCGAAGCTCCGAAGTGTAACCAGTTTTCCAGAATACTCACGATTTACCGTACAAAAAGTGGGACAAAAATTATGGCCGAAATGTCACGTGTCCGACTGGCAAAACTTTTGCGACCGATTTTTGCGGGAAATTCAAAATCTTCACCACGTGGTGATTTCCGAACCTGCTGACGGCTTCCTGACAACAATTTGAGTAATTTCACTTTGGTTTTCTGCACGATGGGGAGAGGAAAGGAGCTCAGTAAAGATAGTAGGGAATTTGTTGTTCAGATGAACAAGGAGGGTCTCTCGTCGCGATCTATAGCTGGATTGACGGGTCTCTGCGATCGTACGGTACGCAGAATTATTTCTGCGTTCAAAAAAACTGGCAAAGTCGATACGAAGCCCCACACTGGCCGCCCAAGGAAGACTACCCCCAGGTTTGATCGCAGGCTGAAGGTGCTTTCAATGTGCAATAGGTTCAAGACGGCAACAAAACTGAGAGCTGAGTTGGCGCAGGAGGGTGAGAATACCGTCTCAGTGCGAACTGTGCGTCGCAGGCTGCAAAACAGTGGATTGCGAGGGTGTGTGGCGGTGAAAAAGCCTTTTATTTCCAAGGTGAATAAAGTAAAGAGGCTGAAATTTGCTAAAGCCCACAAGAATTGGACGTGTGAGCAGTGGAGCCGAGTTCTGTGGACGGATGAGTCTAAGTTCAACCTGGTAGGGTCTGACGGGGCTGTCTACGTCAGAAGACGACCAGGAGAAGCCCTCGCAGACTCGTGCACACGCAAAACGGTGAAACATGGAGGCGGCAACATCATGATCTGGGGAGCGATGTCCGCCAAAGGCAGAGGCCGCCTGTACAAGGTCGACGGCAAATTAAACGCGCAGCAGTACTTGGGAATACTGCAGAACGTGATGCTGCCAAGCATGCAGGATGCGTTCGGCGATGCTGGTGGCATATTCATGCAGGATAATGACCCGAAGCATACAGCGCGCGCGACAAAGCAGTGGCTTCAGGAGAACAATGTCGCCGTTATGGAGTGGCCACCGCAGTCGCCGGATATGAATCCGATAGAAAACCTGTGGCACATCCTTGGCCTGAAGCGCCATGAGCTGCAGACCAGGCCCACCAGCACAAACCAGCTGTGGGATGTCTGCAAGAGTTCATGGAACCTCATCACTGCCCAAGAATGCGCGCGCATAGTCAACACCATGCCGGCGCGCATGGAGGCAGTGATCAAGGCCAAGGGTGGAGCCACGAAGTGGTAAAACTGCGTGAGTTTCATCAGATCAGGATTTTTTAGTGGTGCTAGCCTTAATTTAGTTCAATCCTAGCTGTATTTAGGTAGAGTAGGCAACCTTACCGTATATACTGGATTTCGGCCATAATTATTGTCCCACGTTTTGCCCTATTATCTTCACGTAGATCTGCTTTTACTAGTTGTAAACCATATAACAAGCAAAACTTGCCTTTTCTATCAGGTATCTAATGTCTTTATCACGTTAGCTAGAGTCTAGGTAGTAACAATCAACTGAATCACATTTTAGCATGGGTGGGACAATAATTCTGTCCACCACTGTATTCTGTGATTCGTGTGCTGATAGGTTATTAGCCTAACCTTTAAAGGGGAAGTTAAGGCAAAAATCAAATTTTCACCAGTTGTAGTCTTCGGGGTGCTGAGTCGAATGGTCTTGGTCCGAGAAAGCTGAGACGCTCCCTTCCTACTTGAATCCCAATCGAACTCGCGCACTTCCACCGAAACTGGGTGACTGCGCCCTACTAGATGGGGATTTGTATGCAAAATGTCACTAAAAGCGCCATTTCGTTCTTATAAAAGCACGGATGACCGCGATTGGCCCATATGTTGTAGTCTTTTGGACGCTGAGTCGACTGGTTTTGGTCCGAAAAGGCTGCGATGCAGCGTTCGCCCCTAATTCCCAATCGAACATGGTTGAACAAGCGGTCACGTGCTCCTGCGTACACCAGTCACCTGGTCACCGTGCCTGCAGGGTACAACTTACTAGCCTGTTTTGACCTTTTTTGGGTGCAGTCCTGTCACTCGAGTTGAACCTTGGTGTGAAAGTTGTCGCCTGCTGGCGCGGTGACCAGGTGATTTTGGCACCCAGGAGCACGTGACCGCTTCTTCAACCATGTTCGATTGGGAATAAAGGAGGAACGCTGCATCGCAGCCTTTTCGGACCAAAACCAATCGACTCAGCGTCCAAAAGACTACAACATATGGGCCAATTGCGGTCATCCGTGCTTTTATAAGAACGAAATGGCGCTTTTAGTGACATTTTGCATACAAATCCCCATCTAGTAGGGCGCAGTCACCCAGTTTCGGTGGAAGTGCGCGAGTTCGATTGGGATTCAAGTAGGAAGGGAGCGTCTCAGCTTTCTCGGACCAAGACCATTCGACTCAGCACCCCGAAGACTACAACTGGTGAAATTTTAATTTTTGCCTTAACTTCCCCTTTAATAGCAATGAGCGTCAACGCAATATGAGTAGCGGCAACTCGCCTGACGCATTATACTTGTACACTAACCGACCCAATATCATTATCATTCGGTAGTAAACATACTCTCTGTGCTGCTAGTACTCAGTAGTACCCGTCAACAATATCACTGCAATGATCAGCTGTCATACTCTGCACTGCCTGGGCATTGCCGACGCTGTCGGTCTGTGTTGCATGCAGAACTAGTAGAAGATAAGAGGGCGGTGACGCCAAGCCAAGCCAAGCTCAACATCACACATGTACATGACTTGTTCATGAAGCCGGGAAAGTAATCTGGAATTCTACGTGGTCTATCATCATGCCAGAACTATACACACTGCGATCATGTTTACTCTCGCTCTGAGTCTGAGCTCCATCGCATTCTGGACAACAGGTCGGACACCATGGATACAGTGCCCGTCCAGGCTATGCACCGCCGCACAGCCAGCAGACATAAGGATCATTTTCTCGTGTTGTTAATTTCAGAATCAACAGCAGCTAAAAGTATACTAAGTATAACGTCATGAGAGATCAGTGAAATCACTGCATTGCCAGTGGTGAAGCGAGGAGTGTTCTGAACGCCGAAGAGAGCAGCGACTGCGTAGTGCGAGATCATCAATAACAGTTGCCCTCTAAGTCTTACTAGTCTTAGTTGGAATGAGCGGGTCATGTAGGATGTTGTTCTCCCCCTCCCACGGTAATGAATGATGGCAAGTGTTGAGGCACGTTTGAATTTGCAGCAGACTGCTAATTGATTCAAAAAGACACTGATTGTATTGGAGAGTAGTTTCCGGAGTATTAGCTGTACTGTGTACAGAACCACCATCTAAGGACCGGAGTTCTGCACGGTCCCCTGTAGACTGAGATTACTAGTATCCTCCACCAGGACAGCGCATACGAGCAGGCGGTGATCATGGACGGCGCTGCTGGACGAGACCAGCCTGAGGGAGTGAGGGGCATCTTGGCCTCGCTGGACACGAATTCACTGGGCTACCTGGTACAGGACGATCTGGCTATCATGTGCGAGCAGATGCAGGTCGATCAGGGCCAGGTGGAGTTTCTCATCCAGCTGCTGGACCGCGATGGGGATGGCCAGGTAGGATACTAGTACTGGTAGCTAGGCTCTGTGACTCGTGGAGCAAAAACCTTCATCGCGTTGTAGTTTGAACTGGTTTTAGCCCTATAGCACGAGGTTAGGTTCGCTCAACCTACCCTTCACACCACCACAGTCCACCACCACTCCTACTACTACCACATAGACACATTCTCTCAGTTGTTCATTATGGTACTTACCAGTATAGTAGGCACTCAGCTAACGTAAGCCCGGGGAAGTGAGAGAGGTGGGAGTGGGGCTAGCTGATCCTTTGCTAGGTTCCGCATAGACCTGCATCCCATCATACTGTATAACATGTTATGTTAGGTGTCAGGCACCTGATGGATTGCACATGTGCGTGCGACTTCGAATATTTAGAAATTTACCAGTATTCCGTTCATATCAGCATTATTTTGTTCACACTCTGATCCACTCTGATTTAGCCACCCGCACTAGTACCAAGTACAAGTATTACATTCACTGGGGGCAGGGGTAACTGCAGTTGGATCCCAGGACGGATACCCTGATGCCGTCAATCCTTTTTCTGCACCTTGTCCTCACCCACTTACAGAGGTGTGGTGAGCCCACAACTGGGATCATTTTCAAGTCCACCCAGAGTTTTGGGGATTTCAGGGGTTGTGGGCCGTTGGGCGGTTCAATAGCCAATTGAGTCATCTTTCTAAGATTCATTTTGAGTCTCTCTCCCCTCTCCCGGGGCAACCCACGTGACTAGTTTTGGCAGTGAGCAACAAGTACAAGAACAAGTGTGTGTACATGGTGTGTGTGTGTGTGTGTGTATGTGTGTGTGTACATGGCGTGTGTGTGTTGCGAGGGAGGGAGGGGGGTCCCACACACATGTTATTTGTCCTTTACGACTGGCAGGTATCCCTTGCAGCTCGGTCACTGTCGCACAGCCCAGTACTGATTAGCAACTGGACTCTCCTCCTTCTTGTCTCTCTGCCTGCTGTTACAAATGTAGGTCTGTCAGCAAAGCTGGACGAAACAGAGTCTTTTGGCGTCTACGATGATCGACTGTACATGGTGAAAAGCAGCAACTCCCCGATGTCCATTCCGTGCGACCTCTTCAACATTCTGCGCCACTGGGGGTTTGACCCGTTCATGATCGACTCTATGGTCGCTTCGCTTCTGAATGACTTAGATCGCCTGTACCGGGCGCAGGATGCGGGATTCCCTTTCGGACGGTCGACGAGCTGTTCGACGCGGCCACACCGGACGGCACGTTTCGGCACATGCGGCGCTCGGACGCCGCGTGGTACACGCGCAACCTGTGGGGCCTGTCGGCTTTGTGAACGTCAACTACAACCAGGACGGCGACACGCTGAACACGTTTGTCATGGCCGTGACCCTGGCCGGTGTGCAGGCCGTGACCCTGGCCGGTGTGCAGGCCGTGACCCTGGCCGGTGTGCAGGCCGTGACCCTGGCCGGTGTGCAGGCCGTGACCCTGGCCGGTGTGCAGGACGGTTTCTGGGCGGTGGAGGGCGGTAACCACGAGGTGTGTAGAGGACTGCTTGACAAGGCTGACGTTGCACTGCGTCACCAGGCGGTCACCGCAGTCCAGCGGCTTGACCAGGCGTCGCCGTTCGCCGAGTTCCAGGTGAGCGCTGGCTCTGGCGAGGCGGACGTGTTTGATGCCGTTGTCATCCCAACGCCATTGCAGCTCTCCGGAATCGAGCTGAACGGCTTTCCGCACAGTGCGAGCACAATGCACCGCGGCGAGTACCAACGCACGGTGGTTACGTTTGTCGTTGGTCAGCCAAGTAACGAGTACTTCGGACTGGATTAACTTCAGCCGTGGCTCCCTTCAGCTGTATTGGCATACCTGGATCAACCATACACAAAGAACCGGCGGAGAATGAGTCCGTGTGGAAGATCCTCTCACGAGAGCCGTTGGACAATGTCACTCTGGACAAGCTGTTTCGTGCACGACAGCATGTCACCGTGCGAGAGTTTGCCGCCTTTCCCAAGTACACCAGCGCACCGGCCGAGCTGCCGTCGTTCGTTCTCGATCAGGCCGTCTTCTACACGAGCCTAATCGAGTGGGCGGCATGTGCCATGGATATGAGCTCCATATCCGGCCGCAACGCCGCGCTCCTGGCCAACGCGGCCCTCTCACGGCACAGCTGCTTGGAAAGTTGACACCGCAGCTCCGACTCTGAGCTGTCATGCGCAGCCCCACCGGGCGGGTAATGCCGGTGAACGTGCTGAACGCTGGTTCGTTGTTCACACGGTCAGTGCATGGCAGTCACCGATACTCGATTCCCGACGAGCCATCTATGCACCAGGGAATGCAGTATAGTAAAACTCCTCAGACCCGGGCAGGTTGGGACCGAGCACTGCCCGCCGTAACTCGGAATTGCCCGTATCTCAGAACTTGCATAGTTACAGCATGCAAGTAACATTTTTCCTCTTCTTCGAATCAATAGTTTTTCGGACCGTTTTTTGTTGAAGGGTCAAATTTTGCTTTTTTTGTTTTGCACCAAAACAATTGTGGCTCTACTGTAGTGTAGGTGGGTCAGAAAGGTGTCCGGTACACGGACATGCCCGGATCAGGGACGTCCGGATCTGGGGAGGTTTACTGTACACGCCCTAACACAGCTGCATTTCAACAAGCTGCCTACAGAAAAAAATGTGCGCTGAGTATCCATGCACTAAGCGTGGCCTGGAGTTGGCAGAAGAGATCGTCACAGGCTGGCTGTGTTTTAGCCCCAGGTTATAATGTGCTCGCATCAATGTTCAAGGATGAAAGTGTCGGATGCCTGGCTGCAAACTGGTTGGTCCTAAGACCATCCTTAGCAGATGATTCATGCTGCAAGCTACCACTCCGATGCTCTGATTTCTGCGTTCAAACTTGCCTCCTTTCTTCGAATTGGTGTCAAGGGGAGAAAGTCTCCTGGTAAGATTCTTGACTTGATCTTGTTTTGGAATTGTCTAATGGCAGTAAGTTCATACAGGGGAGCAGCCTCCACTACTGCTTACATACCACAGAGCGCTGACTACCTTCAGTCTTGACCTGTAACCCCCCCCCCCCCCCCGTACTCATGTACGTTACTCATACCTCTCTCTCTCTCTCTCTCTCTCTCTCTCTCTCTCTCTCTCTCTCTCTCTCTCTCTCTCTCTCTCTCTCTCTCTCTCTCTCTCTCTCTCTCTCTCTCTCACGCACACACACACACACACATACACACACACACACACACACGCGCGCGCACACACGACTTAATTTCGGGCATCAGGATGAAACCAAAGAATTCAATTCTAACAAATAAAGTGTAAATGGCTGCGCTAGTCCATGAGCAATTCAGCAAGTTTGTGCATGTAACATGCCATGTATGTTGCACAACAATCATGTATAGCATATTATAGCATGTAAAAGCAAAATGTCTTGAGCAGCTCAGTAATGTGCGGGTATGAGTGGGGACAAGGCAGCTGTATAGAGCTAGAGATTTATAAAAGAAAGAAGCCATTTTTCGCTCACAAAGCAATAGGTCATCCTATGTACATTGAAGTTCAGAAGCATACCATCACTACAGTTAAGCTGTTTTGTGAAGCTTTCTTTAAGCTTTAGGCGGAATAGGTCACAGTGATCATGTGTGACAGCAAGGACTTACATGTAGGTATAATGCACTAAAGATAAGGCATAGGCTGCCCAAAGCCGGGTATACAGTGTTTCGCGAAATACAAAGATTTGGAGAAAATTGAGTACATGCACTCTCTTTCAAAAATTAATTTTAAATTGTACTAGTGCTAGTATCAGGCAGCAGTTGATTGTCTACAGTATTGTGACTTGATCACCTTCTTCCCACAGGGTAACATACCAGCAGCATGTCCCGGTGACACCGTGAAGTACCTCCCTGCTGTCAGTGCGCTCGTGATGACCGGTTAACGTTTGATTGTCACGGTCGAGCTCCAGAGAGATGATATCACCGGTTCGCCAACGCTGTCCAAGTCGACCACCATTACATTTAGGATCTGGTACATACCCACACCAGCCAAATATCTCCGCCTTTGTGTCATGTACTGTCTCCAGTCGTGGCTCAGCTAAGGAGCAGGCACAAATGCGCACATTACTATACTGACTTGTCTGGTCTATTCTTATTCGAATACAGCTTGTACCATGCTTGGCTGTTAATACTGATGAACATGTAGCCCTGGTAGGACCCCCTACACTATTCCGTATTGTGCGTTCGTTGTTGCTTATAGTAATATCTTCATGGCAACGGTTCGGATTGAAAGTCGGCGGAATATTGATAACCTTTGGGCTGCCCTGCACGTGCGCTTCTGCATATTGTACGGATACAGTGAGCGGACCTTCAGTTGAAAGCTGTGTGCGTCCCAGCTCAAGGTATTCTCCAGAAATTTCTTTCAGCAGTGTAGTGGGTAGTTCCATGCTATCTTCATCGTGAACAGAAATGTTGAAACGAAGACGATTGATACACTCCTGAGACAGGCCTGACGGCACATTTCCCTTGATCACAATCTTCAGGTTCGCATTCACACGAGCATTTTCAATGTGAGCTGCTAATCCGTCGGTGAAGTCCGCAAAATCCTGGATGGTGCCGATATTGCCAATCTGACCAGCGACTTCTGGTGCGTTATCACGACCGAATACTATCTGACTTCTTGCGCATGGCTCGAGATCATTTCCTTCCACAGCTTTCCTGCGATCAACTGCATTGTTCAGCCAATGGGCCATCTTCACAAAGTCAGTGTCGTCATCGCAGTTTTGCGAGAGCTCTGACGCAGCGTGATGTACTTCAAGGCCGTCTTCTAGCCGGGCCACCTGGCTTTCCAGTAGCGCATGCTTCTTGTTCCTCAGTTGGTCCACCTCCTCCAGGAGAGTCTGCTCTCTTGCATCCAAGGCCATCTTCAGCTGCTTGAATTGTTCCAAGATCTCCTTTGAGGCATACTCCGCAGCTTCATTCACACACTCCATCTCCATCTTTACCTTATCCAGTGCAGTGGAGATCAGCCTGTCCCCATCTGGCAAGCAACTGCTGAAGTTTGTGTCGACAGTTTGGCGCATATCCTGCACAGCATTCTGAATGGGCACAAGTTGGTGTTTCTGTTCAGGTTTGCTGTGAGCGCCCGTGTCCAGACATTGCTGACATGCCAGCTGGTCACATGGAACACAGTATTTGCTCAACACCTGAGTGGGGTGAAAAGCACAATAGTGCTGTAGTTTAGTGGTTCTTGGGACATTCTTCTCTTGCTCAGCAGTCAGTGATGCCACTTTATGATTACGTGTTGCCCTAAAGAGTGGGTGGCCAGCTGCATGAGTTTCACAGAGATATACTCCACAATTCACACAATTAGCCGTGGCAGGTTCATCTTCAGCGCAGTCGTCACACAGTACCGGTTCCGGCTCACTGCTAGATGCGCTCTGTCCTGGTGTCGTCGGCTTTGGGTAATTGTCCGGTAATGAAGACGCCGGTGACCTTGGCGTTGGCGTTTTGGCGAAGCACTTCGGACAATGAACTCGTCCATCAAATGTAACGAGCTTCTCCAGACACGCTACACAAATTGCGTGCAAACAAGATACCAGCTTCAAACGTCTCGCCTTGCTGCCACAAGACGCACAGCACAACCGATCAGACATTATTACTATTATTGTTATTCCTCTACGAACTCCTCGGGATCGAGCTTGTACTTGTAGCAAACTTACTTACTTGCAGTTGGTCGATGACATTTTTTTTATCTCTGCTACACTGCACCCAGCACTGACTGTCTGTGGTATGCAGCTGTGTACTGGCCCATACTAGCCCATACTGGGCCATGTACTACGGGTCGGTCATAACAACGACATGTCGACACATGTACACAGGATCTAGTCTAGGCGTGACCATGGTGACAGGGCACATTCACACACACATTCACTCAGTCAATGCCATGCAATGCGCACTAATAGTAGTGAGGTTTTGCATTCCGAAATTCGGCAAAAAGATTCGGCACGCGGGAGCGAGGTCGAAAATGCACACGAAGATTCGGAGTGTTTGTTCGGAAAAAGCTCACTTTGCCGAAAATATTTTTCGGATGCATTTTCTTGTAGAAGAGCGCTAGCGCGTGATTTATTCAAAGAGGTTTCTTATCTCGGCATCGCTTCGCAGGCGTCTTTGGCGACATAGCATCGTCAGCTACCTCTGATTGCTCCTCTCCACTGCCTGTCGATTCTCTTTCGCCTGGAGTGTCCTCACCGTCTTCTGTGTGGCTGAAAAGACTATGGCGACACGCATAAAATTTGACTTGGCCATGGAGTTGGTTTTTCTGAGGCGACTGAGGAGGCAGGTTTGGCCCTCGACTCTTTGGGCGATCAAAGTTCGTTGGAATCAGCAAGAAAAGGAGCACGGTACAGGTCGTTGCTGATGCTGGGGCTCACGAAATGAAAACACATCATTTTCGACTTGCAAAACAAACGTTGGTGCGAAAATTCGACATTTTGATGTTCGACAAAAGACCGAAGAACGCCGAACCGAAATTCGGAATGCAAAACCTCACTATTAATGGTCATGCCTCATCATCATGCATCATGACATGGACATGGTCGTGCAGCCGGCAGCCGAGTACAGTCGGCGCATGCGTGTGCTGGATTATGACAGTAAAAATTATGACATGGCTGGTGTCGACCAGCAGCAGCTAGCTTTGGTTGGTTGGTTGGTTTTTATTTCACTTCGCACATTCAAACGGGAGGACGACCCAATAAAATGACGGCGAAGGCTTAGCCTAGAAGTGGCTATGGAAGAACATAGTAAAGGCTATGGAAGCACATAGCATTAGAAGAGAATAGGATACTAATAACTGCGAGTAAACGGGGGGGGGGGGGGGAAGAGAATACAATGTATCTGTGATACAACGTGACTGTGAGGATTACTGAACTGCACGGGGAGGGAGAGCAGAGCGATCAGCAGCAACTCGAACTACTCCCTACAGGCGTATGGTACACATGCATGCTTAAACTCAGGTAGCCGGGTAATTGTGCGGACCTCACCAGGGAGAGCGTTCCACAGCAGAGCACCAGCAACAGAAAATCTCCGCTGACCGCGGCGGCTACGGTTTGCCTGACTCAGTACGAGTCAGTGCCTTGTGCTGGGGTCAGAAGCTGGGCGAGCACAGGGCTGGTGCGGTGCGGGCGTGGATGCACCGCCAGATGGTGTCATCAATATTTTCTGCCTGTAGAGCTCGCTGACACGGTACAGGGAGTGAGCAGTGTCAGTGAGCAGCGGCTGCATGGCTGTCCGGGGCGGGTTGCCATCGATACAGCGGATGGCTCTGTTTTGCGCGGTTTGCAGTCGTTTCAGTTGACCCTCTCGCATTGCGGCTGAAAAGCAGCAGGAGCCATAAAGCAGGTCGGGCATTATGACCGCCTTCACATACACCTGACGAGAGCGTCTTGATAGGCTTCGGCGTGCCCGCCACAAGGCGCCAATTTTCTTGGCAACCTTGGTGACCACATAGTTTACATGGGTGTCCCAATCTAGGCGATTGTCAAGGTGAGCGCCGAGGTAGCGCGCAGAAGACGCTGACGGGAGGAGACAGTCGCCGCTTTTGACTATTACTTCCTGTACATGCTGCTGGAGAGAGATAGTCAGAACCTGGCTCTTGGCGGCGTTCAAGATGAGGCCTCGGGACTTCAGCCAATCGGCCAGAGCAGTTGCCGCTGTGGTGAGGGTTCTGGACGCTTCCGCCGCTGAGGCCTGGGAGTCGTACAGGGCTATGTCATCTGCAAATTGTACACTTGGCACAGCTTTCTGCCTGTTTATCAATAAAGCCATCTCCACCAAACGCGCTCTGCTCTCTGGCCGACCTCACACACCAGCAACATGACTCTAAGTAGTAAGTTGTACAAGTAGATACTGACAAAAATTAATAGTTTTCCCTTCTTACAGCGCTGTTTCCACCACTATAGTATCAATGTACATGTAGGTCTCATCAGTGAATTCCTGGAAGATGTTTCAGTCCAGCACCTGGAACAAGGATGTTCTGTCAATCATGTATTTTTAAAGTAATGTCAATATTCACCTGTGAGTGTGACCGCAGCTACATAATTGCAGGACAACACAACGATTGGGTGATCGCATCGAGCAGCACATCCCCAACAAACTCGTATGGATAGTTACCATGGTTACAGTAACGACGACACTGGTTAGGGCAGGGCCAGGGAGAGGGTGACCAGTCTTAGGCACTTCAGTCACGTGACAAGACCTGTCAAATTTTGCTAAGGTGAGAGTGCGTACTTGCGTGGTATCAGTCAAGTCCCTGTGCAAAACTGTACAGGTACACGCCATGCTTCGTTGTGCGGGCCTGTAGTTCAGTGCATCGTGCTGCTCTGGCGTTCAGCTTTCAGTAGAGCCTACATACGTCATAGTGCGTACATTTTTACGACTGGCAGGCCATGTACACTTCCAGCAAAGAGTTTTTTCACAAGGAAATGTTGTTAGTACGCGTTGGAAACGTTGCCTATCGTCTTCAGCGTCATGTTTCCATTCAGAAACAGTTGAGTTCTTGTTCACCAGGGTTTGCGCATAGCTGCGCAAGGAGGAAATATGGACGTAGATAGTGAGGAGAAGGGCTTGAGGCGGAGGAGAAAGATGCGTCGTCGTCTTACCTGAGCCAGTTTTCAAAGCGTTCTGAAAGCCAATGTTTGACCCTGTTGTGCTTGAACGGCTACTGATGTTTACGTCTTTACGAACAATCAAACGGCACAGTGGCTACAGGAGAAATCCGCCGATGAGTGGGACACTTTGATCGACGCATCCAGACGCGCTGCACCAAAATTCTGTGAGAATTTCGAGGCTCGCCAGCAGACAATTCATGACTGCTGTATGGAGCAAGTGAAGGAGAAGGAGGCAGGTAGCACACGCAAGAAAGAACAACATCAAAAGAAAAAGGAGACTTTGACGGAGATCACGGCTGTAGGTGGACTCTGGATCTCGAAGGAGGCAGCACAGGAGCAGCTCTCAAAAATGTTCTGTGTCACTGACGAACGCCTTGCTCTCAATTCGCAGCTTCACTTCTGCAAGTTTGTTCTGCTGCAGAAGCCCGGTCCGAAGTAATTTAGTTTGCACTTTCTACTGGTACAAAGGGGCTGCCAATAGAGAAACTGGTTTCCAACATCGAACCTCTGTTTGAAGTGGCGTTAACGTGTGCACGCGCGTTGTGTATGCAGAAATTCCGCTTTCAATTCATTTTGCGTATGCTATCTCTGCGTGCTTACCTTCTGAGTGCCAGAAGAATGTCTTTTATAGCATTTAGCAGCAGCAGTGGCCTGCTGGTGAACTCTATGTCGATATTAGCTAATTTCACAGCAAACCGAAGCTGTTACTATGGGGTTGCCATGGGTTACTACGGGTTGCTATGGGGTTGCCATGGGTTACTACGGGTTGCTATGGGGTTGCTATGGTGAATGTGGTAACAATTGCCGTATTCTGGACTATTGTGAACTTTGATCAGTATTTTGTTGATCCATAAACGGTTGTTGGTGTTTGTGAGAGCCGTGTGTTTGAAAATGCCACTCTGAAGTTTTGCAACTATATCCACTGATAACACTTTGGAGATGCTGTTGGTACCACAAAATGTATTGCTTTGGCCTTATGCAATTGCCTCTCTTCAACCCTTCATATCTCACTTGTGTCTTTGTGGATTTCAATGAAATTTTGTGTGTGACCTCGTGATATCCACCACTGTCGATTTACGATGCTAAACCTGGGAGAAACCCGACTGGAAAAAACCGGCTGAAGTGAGCGGCGGCGGCAGTCAAAGACATCACCGTCATGACGTCACCGTCAACAAAGGGAGGAGAAATACCAACACCGCGTACCGATCAAACCACCAGCAACTGTCACGAGATGAGGGACCCATGAGTGTGTGTGATCCCCGGTAGCCTAATCGGTAGGGCACTGTCCCGGAAAGACAGGGGTGCTGGGTTCGAATCCCGCTCGTGGATCCTTCTTTTGCAACAGAGACGAAGTGACCGGCTGCGTCTCCGCAACAACGCTCTGCAACAAGCGGCTGATACAGGATTGACATGTGGAGCAGTGTATGACTCCTCGCCCGGCAGAGAAGTCGCCAGAGGCACAACTGCCCTGCATTATACTTTTATAGCAACCGCACGAATGGACCACCGGACACAGACAATGAGAAGGACTGTACTTGGCGATACTCTGTCACCTGACATCGTCACGGGCCAGCCTAATTAGCTAAGTGCAGTCTGCAAACATGGCACCCATTCTCACTTCACAAATCAATTGCGTGCGCGCAACAAAATACCTTGCTGTGCTGGAGGCAGTGTACATTGCCAAGCTGAAGCCTGAACTGCGCGTGCAAAAGAAGTATGTGCGAAAGTAACTACTAGTAGTAGTACTAGTAGTTGTCACTGTTTTGACATTGTAGTGCATGTACCGTGTGTCCCCACTGTCGTTTGATACTATTTTTGTAGTAATATTCATTGTTTCACTATGTAGTTGGCGCCACTAGCGCTATCTTTTCAAGTGCTATTTGGTCTATGCTCTGACCGCCAAAGTGCCGGTTATAAGGACTTGCTTGCTACCATATTACTGAAGTAATCATCATTGTATTCGACTTGAAATGGTACGAAAGGCCTAGTCGAAACTACATGTACATGTACATGGATTCTGTGATTCGTGTGCTGATAGGTTATTAGCCTAACCTTTAATAGCATAGAGCGTCAACACAATATGAGTAGCGGCAACTCGCCTGACGCATTATACTTGTATACTAACCGACCCACCTAAATATCATTATCATTCGGTAGTAAACATACTCCCTGTGCTGCTAGTACTCACTAGTACCCGTCAACAATATCACTACACTGCAATGATCAGCTGTCATACTCTGCACTGCCTGGGCATTGCCGACACTGTCGGTGTGTGTTGCATACAGAACTAGTAGAAGATAAGAGGGCGGCGATGCCAAGCTTGCCAAGCTAAACACCACACATGTACAAATGGAAATGCAGACACCTACACCTGCATGTACATGAAGCCGGGAAAGTAATCTGGTCCATCATCATGCCAGAACTATACACACTGTGATCATGTTCACTCTCGCTCCGAGTCTGAGCTCCATCGCATTCTGGACAACAGTTCTGACACCATGGATACAGTGCCCGTCCAGACTATGCACCGCCGCGCACAGCCAGCAGACATTTATAGGATCATTTTCTCGTGTTGTTATTTTCAGAATCAACAGCAGCTACAAGAGTATACTAAGTATAAGGTCATGAGAGATCAGTGAAATCACTGCATTTTGTGGTGAAGCGAGGAGTGTTCTGAACGCCGAAGGGAGCAACGTAGTGCGAGATCATCAATACTAGTTGCTCTCTTGGCTGGAATGAGCGGGTCATGTTACAGGATGTTGTTCTCCGCCTCCCACGGTAATGAATGATGGCAAGTGTTGAGGTACGTTTGAATGTGCAGCAGACTGCTAATTGATTCAAAAAGACACTGATTGTATTGGAGAGTAGTTTCCGGAGTATTAGCTGTACTGTGTACAGAACCACCATCTACGGACCGGAGTTCTGCACGGTCCCCCGTAGACTGAGATTACTAGTATCCTCCACCAGGACAGCGCATACGAGCAGGCGGTGATCATGGACGGCGCTGCTGGACGAGACCAGCCTGAGGGAGTGAGGGGCATCTTCGCCTCGCTGGACACGAATTCACTGGGCTACCTGGTACAGGACGATCTGGCTATCATGTGCGAGCAGATGCAGGTCGATCCGGGCCAGGTGGAGTTTCTCATGCAGCTGCTGGACCGCGACGGGGACGGCCAGGTAGGATACTAGTACTGGTAGCTAGGGTCTGTGACCTGGTGACTCGTGGAGCAAAAACCTTCATCGCGTTGTAGTTTGAACTGGTTTTAGCCCTATAGCACGAGGTTAGGTTCGCTCAACCTACCCTTCACACCACCACAGTCCACCACGGCCACCACTCCTACTACTACCACATAGACACATTCTCTCAGTTGTTCATTATGGTACTTACCAGTATAGTAGGCACTCAGCTAACGTAAGCTCGGGGAAGTGAGAGAGGTGGGAGTGGGGCTAGCTGATCCTTTGCTAGGTTCCGCATAGACCTGCATCCCATCATACTGTATAACATGTTATTTTAGGTGTCAGGCACCTGATGGATTGCACATGTGCGTGCGACTTCGAATATTTAGAAATTTACCAGTATTCCGTTCATATCAGCATTATTTTTGTTCACACTCTGATCCACTCTGATTTAGCCACCCGCACTAGTACCAAGTACAAGTATTACATTCACTGGGGGCAGGGGTAACTGCAGTTGGATCCCAGGACGGATACCCTGATGCCGTCAATCCTTTTTCTGCACCTTGTCCTCACCCACTTACAGAGGTGTGGTGAGCCCACAAATGGGATCATTTTCAAGTCCACCAAGAGTTTTGGGGATTTCAGGGGTTGTGGGCCGTTGGGCGGTTCAATAGCCAATTGAGTCATCTTTCTAAGATTCATTTTGAGTCTCTCTCCCCTCTCCCGGGGCAACCCACGTGACTAGTTTTGGCAGTGAGCAACAAGTACAAGAACAAGTGTGTGTGTACATGGTGTGTGTGTGTGTGTGTGTGTGTGTGTGTGTGTGTGTGTGTGTGTATGTGTGTGTGTGTACATGGCGTGTGTGTGTTGCGAGGGAGGGAGGGGGGGGTCCCACACACATGTTATTTGTCCTTTACGACTGGCAGGTATCCCTTGCAGCTCAGTCACTGTCGCACAGACCAGTACTGATTAACAACAGTTACTGGACTCTGCTCTTTCTTGTCTCTCTGCCTGCTGTTACAAATGTAGGTCTGTCAGCAAAGCTGGACGAAACAGAGTGTTTTGGCGTCTACGATGATCGACTGTACATGGTGAAAAGCAACAGCTCCCCGATGTCCGTTCCGCGAGACCTCTTCAACATTCTGCGCCACTGGGGGTTTGACCCGTTCATGATCGACTCTATGGTCGCTTCGCTTCTGAATGACTTAGATCGCTTGTCCGGGCGCAGGATGCGGGATTCCCTTTCGGACGGTCGACGAGCTGTTCGACGCGGCCACACCGGACGGCACGTTTCGGCACATGCGGCGCTCAGACGCCGCGTGGTACACGCGCAACCTGTGGGGCCTGTCGGCTTTGCGAACGTCAACTACAACCAGGACGGCGACACGCTGAACACGTTTGTCATGGCCGTGATCCTGGCCGGTGTGCAGGCCGTGACCCTGGCCGGTGTGCAGGACGGTTTCTGGGCGGTGGAGGGCGGTAACCAGGAGGTGTGTAGAGGACTGCTTGACAATGCTGACGTTGCACTGCGTCACCAGGCGGTCACCGCAGTCCAGCGGCTTGACCAGGCGTCGCCGTTCGCCGAGTTCCAGGTGAGCGCTGGCTCTGGCGAGGCGGACGTGTTTGATGCCGTTGTCATCCCAACGCCATTGCAGCACTCCGGAATCGAGCTGAACGGCTTTCCGCACAGTGCGAGCACAATGCACCGCGGCGAGTACCAACGCACGGTGGTTACGTTTGTCGTTGGTCAGCCAAGTAACGAGTACTTGGGACTGGATTAACTTCAGCCGTGGCTCCCTTCAGCTGTATTGGCATACCCAGATCAACCATACACAAAGAACCGGCGGAGAATGAGTCCGTGTGGAAGATCTTCTCACCAGAGCCGTTGGACAATGTCACTCTGGACAAGCTGTTTCGTGCACGACAGCATGTCACCGTGCGAGAGTTTGCCGCCTTTCCCAAGTACAGCAGCGCACCGGCCGAGCTGCCGTCGTTCGTTCTCGATCAGGCCGTCTTCTACACGAGCCTAATCGAGTGGGCGGCAAGTGCCATGGATATGAGCTCCATATCCGGCCGCAACGCCGCGCTCCTGGCCAACGCGGCCCTCTCACGGCACAGCTGCTTCGAAAGTTGACACCGCAGCTCCGACTCTGAGCAGTCATGCGCAGCCCCACCGGTCGGGTAATGCCGGTGAAAGTGCTGAATGCTGGTTCGTTGTTTACACGGTCAGTGCGTGGCAGTCACCGGTACTCGATTTCCGACGAGCCATCTATGCACCAGGGAATGTAGTATAGTAAAACTCCTCAGACCCGGGCAGGTTGGGACCGAGCACTGCCCGCCGTAACTAGGAATTGCCCGTATCTCAGAACTTGCATAGTTACAGCATGCAAGTAACATTTTTCCTCTTCTTCGAATCAATAGTTTTTCGGACCGTTTTTTGTTGAAGGGTCAAATTTTGCTTTTTTTTTGTTTTGTGCAAAACAATTGTGGCTCTACTGTATTGTAGGTCGGTCAGAAAGGTGTCCGGTACATGGACATGCCCGGATCAGGGACGTCCGCATCTGGGGAGGTTTACTATACACGCCCTAACACAGCTGCATTTCAACAAGCTGCCTACAGAAACAAATGTGCACTGAGTATCCATGCACTGAGTGTTGCCTGGAGTTGGCAGAAGAGATCGGCACAGGCTGGCTGTGTTTTAGCCCCAGGTTATAATGTGCTCGCATAAATGTTCAAGGATGAAAGTGTCGGATGCTTGGCTGCAAACTGGTTGGTCCTGAGACCATCCTTAGCAGATGATTCATGCTGCAAGCTACCACTCCGATGCTCTGATTTCTGCGTTCAAACTTGTCTCCTTTCTTCGAATTGGTGTCCAGGGGAGAAAGTCTCCTGGTAAGATTCTTGACTTGATCTTGTTTTGGAATTGTCTAATGGCAGTAAGTTCATACAGGGGAGCAGCTTCCACTGCTGCTTACATACCACAGGGCGCTGACTACCTTCAGTCTTGACCTGTAACCCCCCCCCCCCCCCCCCGTATTCATGTACGTTACTCATACCCCCCCCCCCCTCTCTCTCTATCCCTCTCTCTTTCTCTCTCTCTCACGCACACACACACACACACGCACACACACACACACACACACACACACACACACACACACACACACACACACACACACACACTCAGATTCAGACATGCCCATGGCTGAAGTGATGATAACGAACAGCTATTGTTAGACATAGCAACTTGTGCACACACACACACACACACACACACACATACACACACACACACACACACGCGCGCACACACACGACTTAATTTCGGGCATCAGGATGAAACCAAAGAATTCAATTTTAACAAATAAAGTGTAAATGGCTTCGCTAGTCCATGAGCAATTCAGCAAGTTTGTGCATGTAACATGCCATGTACGTTGCACAACAATCATGTATAGCATATTATAGCATGTAAAAGCAAAATGTCTTGAGCAGCCCAGTAATGTGCGGGTACGAGTGGGGACAAGGCAGCTGTATAGAGCTAGAGATTTATAAAAGGAAGAAGCCATTTTTCGCTCACAAAGCAATAGGTCCTCCAATGTACATTGAAGTTCAGAAGCATACCATTACTACAGTTGAGCTGTTTTGTGAAGCTCTCTTTAGGTGGAATAGGTCACAGTGATCATGTGTGACAGCATGGACTTACATGTAGGTAACATGCACTCAAGATAAGGCATAGGCTGCCCAACGCCGGATACAGTGTTTCGCGAAATGAAAAGGTTCTGAGAAAATTGAGTACATCCATACATGCACTCCCTTTTAAAAATTAATTTTAAATTATTCAAGTATCAGGCAGCAGTTGATTGTCTACAGAATCGTGACTTGACTTAGCTAAACTGAACTCAAGCTAAGGCATAGGCTGCCCCAGGTACGTATGCAGTGTTTTGCGAAATGCAAAGGTTCTAAGAAAATTGAGTACATGCATGCATGCACTCTCGTTTAAAATTTAATTTTAAATTATACAAGGGCTAGTATCAGGCAGCAGTTGACTGTCTACAGTATCGTGACTTGATTACCGTGTTGACACAGGGCAACATACCAGCAGTGTATACCGGTGACACCGTGAAGTACCTCCCTGCTGTCAGTGCGCTCGTGATGACCGGTTAACGTTTGATTGTCATGGTCGAGCTCCAGAGAGATGATATCACCGGTTTTCCACTGCTGTCCAAGTCGACCACCATTACATTTAGGATCTGGTACATACCCACGCCAGCCAAATATCTCCGCTTTTGTGTCATGTAATGTCTCCAGTCGTGGCTCAGCGGATGAGCAAGCACAAATGCGCACATCACCAAACTGGTGACTTGTCTTGTCTATTCTTACTCGAATACAGCTTGTACCATGCTTGGCTGTTATCAGTGACGAACAAGTAGCCCTGGGAGAACTCCCTAGTACACTCTTCCTTATTGTGCGTTCGTTGTTGCTTATAGTTATATCTCCGTGGCAACGGTTCGGATCGAAAGTCGGCTTTATATTGATAACCTTTGGGCTGCCCTGCACGTGCGCTTCTGCATATTGTACGGATACTGCGAGCTGACCTGCAGTTGAAAGCTGTGTGCGTGTCAGCTCAAGGCGTTCTCCTGAAATTTCTTTCAGCAGTGTAGTGGGTAGTTCCATGCTGTCTTCATCGTGAACAGAAATGTTGAAACGAAGACGATTGATACACTCCTGAGACAGGCCTGACGGCACATTTCTCTTGATCACAATCTTCAGGTTCGCATTCACACGAGCATTTTCAATGTGAGCTGCTAATCCGTCGGTGAAGTCCGCAAAATCCTCGATGGTGCCGATATTGCCAATCTGACCAGCGACTTCTGGTGCGTTATCACGACCGAAAACTATCTGACTTCTTGCGCATGGCTCGAGATCAGTTCCTTCCACAGCTTTCCTGCGATCAACTGCATTGTTCAGCCAATGGGCCATCTTCACAAAGTCAGTGTCGTCATCGCAGTTTTGCGAGAGCTCTGACGCAGCCTGATGTACTTCAAGCCCGTCCTCTAGCCGAGCCACCTGGCTTTCCAGTAGCGCAAGCTTCTTGTTCCTCAGTTGGTCCACCTCCTCCAGGAGAGTCTGCTCTCTAGAATCCAAAGCCATCTTCAGCTGCTGGAATTGTTCCATGATCTCCTTTGAGGCATACTCCGCAGCTTCATTCACACAATCCATCTCTTTCTTTACTTTATCCAGTGCAGCGGAGATCAGCCTGTCCCCATCTGGCAAGCAACTGCTGAAGTTTGTGTCGACAGTTTGGCGCATCTCTTGCACAGCATTCTGAATGGGCACAAGTTGGTGTTTCTGTTCGGGTTTTCTGTGAGCGCCCGTGTCCAGGCATTGCTGACATGCCAGCTGGTCACATGGAAAACAGTATTTGCTCAACACCTGAGTGGGGTGAAAAGCACAATGGTGCTGTAGTTTAGTGGTTCTTGGGACGTTCTTCTCTTGCTCAGCAGTCAGTGATGCCACTTTATGATTACGTGTTGCCCTAAAGAGTGGGTGGCCAACGGCGTGAGCGCTGCACAGGTTCGTTCCACAGTCTGCACAGCTAGCCGTGGCAGGTTCATCTTCAGCGCAGTCGTCACACATTACCGGTTCCGGCTCACTGCTTGATGAGCTCTGTCCTGGTGTCGTCATCTTTGGGTAATTGTCCGGTAATGAAGACGCCGGTGACCTTGGCGTTGGCGTTTTGGCGAAGCACTTCGGACAATGAACTCGTCCATCAAATGTAACGAGCTTCTCCAGACACGCTATACAAATTGCGTGCAAACAAGATACCAGCTTCAAACGTCTCGCCTTGCTGCCACAAGACGCACAGCACAACCGATCAGGCATTATTACTATTATTGTTATTCCTCTACGAACTCCTCGGGATCGAGCTTGTACTTGTAGTTGTAGCAAACTAACTTACTTCTACTTGCATTTGGTCGATGACATTTTTTTTAATCTCTGCTACACTGCACCCAGCACTGACTGACTGTCTGTGGTATGCAGCTGCCTATACTAGCCCATACTATTACTGGACCATGTACTACGGCCCGGTCGGTCATAACAACGACATGTCGACACATGCACAGGATCTAGTCTAGGCGTGACCATGGTGACAGGGCACATTCACTCACACATTCACTCAGTCAATACGACAATAGTGAGGTTTTGCATTCCGAATTTCGGTTCGGCGTTCTTCGGTCATTTGTCGAACATCAAAATGTCGAATTTTCGCACCAACGTTTGTTTTGCAAGTCGAAAATGATGTGTTTTCATTTCGTGAGCCCCGGCATCAGCAACGTCCTGTCCCGTGCTCCTTTTCTTGCTTATTCCAACGAACTTTGATCGCCCAAAGAGTCGAGGGCCAAACCTGCTTCCTCAGTCGCCTCAGAAAAACCAACGCCATGGCCAAGTCAAATGTTATGCGTGTCGCCATAGTCTTTTCAGGCACACAGATGACGGTGAGAACACTCCAGGCGAAAGAGAGTCGACAGGCAGTGGAGAGGAGCAATCTGACGTAGCTGACGATGCTATGTCGCCAAAGACGCCTGCCAAGCGATGCCGAGATAAGAAACCTCTTTGAATAAATCACGCGCTAGCCCTCTTCTACAAGAAAATGCATCCGAAAAATATTTTCGGCAAAGTGAGCTTTTTCCGAACTAACAGTTGAGGGTTTTACGTCGGGCCCTAGACGACGGCTACTTAATCTTTGGCCAACCGGACAACGAAGAAGTTGTGACCAAAGAGAATGATTTTATTTCTTGCGCATGCGTTTGTAGAATGACGTAATACTCAGTGAGTCAGGCCAGGTCGCTACAGTACTCCCCCGCCAGTGGTGAGGTCGGGAGGAGCGAAGCACGATAAACAAGAAACAAGAAAGAGAAGAGAAAGGAAACACAGCATGTACAAGGCGGAAAGGCAAAAATATAATAATAATTATGATACATATGTACAAGCGAGAGCGCTGCATGTGTGAAATTTGTTAAAGGGGAAGTATACCCTAAAATCAAATTTTCACCAGTTGTAGTCTTCTGGGTGCTGAGTCGAATGGTCTTGGTCCGAGGAAGCTGCGACGCTCCCTTCCTACTTGAATCCCAATCGAACTCGCGCATTTCCACCGAAACTGGGTGACTGCGCCCTACTAGATGGGGATTTGTATGCAAAATGTCACTAAAAGCGCCATTTCGTTCTTATAAAAGCACGGATGACCGCGATTGGCCCATATGTTGTACTCTTTTGGACGCTGAGTCGACTGGTTTTGGTCCGAAAAGGCTGCGATGCAGCGTTCCTCCTTTATTCCCAATCGAACATGGTTGAACAAGCGGTCACGTGCTCCTGGGTGCCCAAATCACCTGGTCACCGCGCCAGCAGGTGACAACTTTCACACCAAGGTTCAACTCGAGTTCAACTCAAGTGACAGGACTGCACCCAAAAAAGGTCAAACAGGCTAGTAAGTTGTACCCTGCACTGCACGGTGACCAGGTGACTGGTGTACGCAGGAGCACGTGACCGCTTGTTTAACCATGTTCGATTGGGAATAAAGGAGGAACGCTGCATCGCAGCCTTTTCGGACCAAAACCAGTCGACTCAGCGTCCAAAAGACTACAACATATGGGCCAATCGCGGTCATCCGTGCTTTTATAAGAACGAAATGGCGCTTTTAGTGACATTTTGCATACAAATCCCCATCTAGTAGGGCGCAGTCACCCAGTTTCGGTGGAAGTGCGCGAGTTCGATTGGGAATAAAGGAGGAAGGGAGCGTCTCAGCTTCCTCGGACCAAGACCATTCGACTCAGCACCCCGAAGACTACAACTGGTGAAAATATGATTTTAGGGTATACTTCCCCTTTAAACAACGTGGCACAAATGCCGAAACAAAAATCAGAAAAGCAGGAAAGAGAGAGATGCATGACAGAGGCGGGTTAACGGGTCAGAGGTGTGTTAAAGGGGAAGTTAAGGCAAAAATTAAAATTTCACCAGTTGTAGTCTTCGGGGTGCTGAGTCGAATGGTCTTGGTCCGAGGAAGCTGAGACGCTCCCTTCCTACTTGAATCCCAATCGAACTCGCGCACTTCCACCGAAACTGGGTGACTGCGCCCTACTAGATGGGGATTTGTATGCAAAATGTCACTAAAAGCGCCATTTCGTTCTTATAAAAGCACGGATGACCGCGATTGGCCCATATGTTGTAGTCTTTTGGACGCTGAGTCGACTGGTTTTGGTCCGAAAAGGCTGCGATGCAGCGTTCCTCCTTTATTCCCAATCGAACATGGTTGAACAAGCGGTCACGTGCTCCTGCGTACATCAGTCACCTGGTCACCGTGCCTGCAGGGTACAACTTACTAGCCTGTTTGACCTTTTTTTGTGTGCAGTCCTGTCACTCGAGTTGAACCCGAGTTGAACCTTGGTGTGAAAGTTGTCACCTGCTGGCGCGGTGACCAGGTGATTTGGGCACCCAGGACCACGTGACCGCTTGTTCAACCATGTTCGATTGGGAATAAAGGAGGAACGCTGCATCGCAGCCTTTTCGGACCAAAACCAGTCGACTCAGCGTCCCAAAGACTACAACATATGGGCCAATCGCGGTCATCCGTGCTTTTATAAGAACGAAATGGCGCTTTTAGTGACATTTTGCATACAAATCCCCATCTAGTAGGGCGCAGTCACCCAGTTTCGGTGGAAGTGCGCGAGTTCGATTGGGATTCAAGTAGGAAGGGAGCGTCTCAGCTTCCTCGGACCACGACCATTCGACTCAGCACTCCGAAGACTACAACTGGTGAAATTTTAATTTTTGCCTTAACTTCCCCTTTAACGTGACAGAGGTGGAGAGCATGTCAGAGGCAGAAAGAAAGAAAAGAGGAAACGTACGCATGACAGAGGAGTGTTCAATGATCATGTCAGAGGCGGCTGCATGTTGCAGGCTTGGCGGGATACCAGCAGGAGCGCTGCACTGATGCGAGGCATGCGAAGTGAGGCGGGGACAGATGGAGGCGAGCGCAGCTCCATGGGGTCCGGTGCCGGGCGTGTGCCTGCGTGCGTGCACAGTGAGTGAGCTGGTACGACGGGTACTGGTTGGTGGAGGTGGCCAATTTCCAGCTTGAGGCCAGGACGAATACGGACGACGACGACTGGACGATGCCGTGGCAGGATAGCGGGGTATCCAGGTGGGCCGGGGAGGGTGGCAGGGGCCACAGCAGCTCCGAGGCGGATCCAGTGATGGTGAGGCTCAAGTTTTACGTCAACAGCCGGCGATTGACGGGATCCCGAGAGTTGAGGCGAGCAGGAAACTGCGGCGGGCCGAGCTCAGGGATGGCATGCTCAAAACTCCGAAGAGCGCAGCGTCAGGGGTCACCAATTTAGGGTTTTACGTCGGGCCCTAGACGACGGCCACTTTGGCCAACCGGACAACGAAGAAGTTAGTTGTGACCAGGGAGTCGTCCAGGGAGTCGTCTATACGACTCCCTGGTTGTGACCAGGGAGTCGTAAAAGCCCGGGAGAGGACACGGCACACATTCCCAGAAAACATCTTTGCCTCGCGCTGCCGGGGGAACGCTGCCAGGGAACGGTGTTGCGAGCCCAGGAAATTATTATTTTCGAAAATTGTGATGTCTTCTTGAAATACTAATTGGGACATTCTCCGATTTCTCTTAGAGCACGGAGACGATTGCTCCGTCGAGTCTTCTGATCTCTATTTTCATCCTCAATTCTTCCAGCTGCCTCACTCATTCTCTCTCAGTTTATCGAAGTTAATTTATTCTGAGGCGATGGAAATGCAAGATAAATCCCTAATTGTACTTCAATTTTATTTGAGTTGGGGTGAACGAAATGAGATTTGTGGAAAATGACGCCACTTCCCGTGTTAGCCGCTGGTCGTATCATAAAGCCCATACTCCATTGCAGGTGATGGGCGAACGTTCGTGTTGAGATCCGCTGAGCTTCCTCGTACTCGTTGAGTTGAATTTGTGGCAGAAATTGCACTGAATTGCAGTCAAATGGTTGTGAATGAAACGAGATTTGTGGAAAATGACGCCACTTCCCGTGTTAGCCGCTGGTCGTATCATACAGCCCATATTCCATTGCAGGTGATGGGCGAAAGTTCTTGTGGAGATCCGCTGAGCTTCCTCGTACTCGTGGAGTTGAATTTGTGGCAGAAATTGCACTGAAATTGCAGTCGAGTGGACTTCTGTGCGTGTGTTGTGAGTGAATCGCAACGGCTCCCTTCCTTCAGCATCGTCAAAACGCAACATAGAGCATTATTACGCACTCGTTCCATGATTCATGATATTGCCTGGATTCTTTTAAAAACAATCAATGTGTGTTCCCTATCTATCTACATTGTACATGGTTGCAGGTCGTTATTTATAAATCTTGATAATTTCAACACTTTTCTACTCGTATACTGAGTACGCGGTGACTTTAGCCGTTTAGGAAACGGAAGGCTCAGCCTCCAGGTTGGCCAGAAAGGTTCTCAGTGAATCTAACCGAAGTCTTGGCGAGTGTACAAAAGGTAAACCTATCATTTGTACTTCATAACGGAATTGTGCACAAAAATGCGCACACACGCACGCGCGCACACACACACACAACACTGTACAAGCACATGTGCACATACACACGCCTCCCCCCCCCCCCCCACACACACACAGACACACTCAACTCCCCACCCCCTGTACCATGTGTACTGAGTCTGACAGACAGACACACAATCATGTTTATGCTTCTTATTCCTTCGCCACCAGTTTCGGATCAACAACGAGTTGTAAAATATTGGTATTTTAGGACTCCCTGCCCTGAAGACGAGCACAGCGCCGTGGATCGAGCAGATCCGGCCGCGCCGGCCTAGCGTGCTTCACTTTCTGGCCGAGGCAAACATCGTCCGCGTGCGCGCATCCCGTGTCCTCTCCCGGGC